TGAATTTGCAGATTGTTGGGGTTTTTTTAGTAGGGAGAGAGAGATATCAAAGATATGTAGACGTTGCATTCTTACCTTTTGGCAAGTCTCTCATTTTTGTTTCAGTTCTGACCTAATTTTAAAAGGATACAATTGGGGGGGAGGAGGGGAATTACTCAGAAAATAACCTTTCCTTCCAGGTTAACTTATAATGATTTTTTTTTAAATCCATCTTTATTCAACTGTCCAGTTAGAGTCCATCTTCAAAACAAAAAATGTGTTACCTGCACTGGAAATGTTTTGCAAAACTTGCAATATTTTCCTTGAATAATTGCAACATGCATACTGTTTCTTTAATATCTAGCTGTATTACAGTGTGTTTCATTATCTTCATTAAAAAGTGATTTCTGAACTACTACCTTGTACAGAATCCTTTTACCAAAAAAAATCACTGTTTGCTTTTGCCTACATCCCAAAGGGTTTGTGAAGTCAGCTCTGTATTGTGCAACTCTTTTCAATAGTGAAAGAATTACTAACTTTTGCAGGTCGTTGGGTCTGGTTTTCTAAGGTCTTTAATTCATAAACTACTGGAAAATCATAGTGTTTTCATAAAACAAGGACAAACTATGTACCAAATATACAGGAAAACTAAATGAGTGAAACAGTACAGATTTTACATTATAATAGGAACGAGACAAATTGAAAGAAATGCCTCAGACCATGTATTATGAAGTATAAAATTATTCATTACTTATTAGCTGCCGTTGCTGTTGCCATTGTTGTTGATTGTAAACGGAGACCACAAACCACAAGCAGAAAATTACAAAACGAGAATGAGTGATCTTGAATACAGCAAGTTGAAATACAAACAATTCTGTACAACAGAAAGAAAAAATCTTGTAAAAAATGAACTTTGAAAGAAGACTGGGCAATGATCATTGGCAACAAACTGGCTGTCCATTGCCAGTGTGCTACAGTTTAATAAAAAAAAAGTGCAACTGATGTATACAGACATATCAACTGTGTGTGCAGCTGATTAGTGGAGAAAGTGGGCAGCAGAATGAACAAAGGTGATTTTGCCTAGGAGTGCTGGAAGACTGAACTGGCCTTTTGGAGACATATAAGATTGATTTTGTGAACTTCGTTATCAATACAGTCTTCAAAATTTGTAAGCCTTCTCTCTTCCAGTGTCCTTAAGGAACAGAATGCCAGGTAAAACGGAATCGAAATTGGGTGAATGGGTAACACAGTGGGGTCCCAGTCCTTGGAGAGGAGAATTTTGTGGGTCATTAAATCACAAAGTAGTAATGTCTCATATGCTGTTAGACAGCACGTACCACAAGGAAGTGCTGCGTGCACACACAATGACTTGTAAAGGAATGCTAGCAGCACTTGATGTCAGTAGCTGTATTGGATTTGCATGGCAAGGTTTTGGTAGCCAAGTGGCTACAGGGGTGGCTTCTGTGAGAAGCTGCTAGAAGCTTCCCCCATGTCCGATAGAGCCAATGCCAGCCAGCTCCAAGACGGACCCGCCGCTGGCCAAGGCCGAGCCCATCAGCAACAGTGGTAGCGCCTCTGTGATAATGTATTTAAGACGGGAAAAAAAACCCCGCGCAATTGCAGCCGGAGAGAGGAGTGAGAATATGTGGGAGAAACAACTCTGCAGACACCAAGGTCAGTGAAGAAGGAGGGGGAGGAGGTGCTCCAGGCGCCGGAGCAGAGATTCCCCTGCAACCCGTGGTGAAGGCCATGGTGAGGCAGGCTGTCCCCCTGCAGCCCATGGAGCTCCACGGTGGAGCAGGGGAAGGGTGTGAGGAGTCCTCCCCCTGAGGGG